CCCAGGCGGCTCTGTACCTGCCACAGCCGCCTCAAGGTCTCCAGAGACCTCGGCGGCTCCGTGCCCCAAGCACAGCCGGACCCCGCCATCGGTGTGGGCTGTCGGTGCTGACGAGGGAGCCGACACGAGGCCCGGGGCAGGCTAGCAGGGCCCGCGGTCACATCCCCACCCGCCGGACCAGGGGTTCCGCAGGGGGGGGGGCTGTGGCCGCCTCACCAACTCCCGGGACCTCAGGCCGCCATGACACTGGAAGCCCCAGCCACCTTATCTTCAACAAAGGAGGCAAATATGCTTCCTGGAAGAAAGATAGCTTCTTTAACAAATGGTGCTGGAAAAACTGGCTCCTTACATGCTGAAAACTAAAACTTGACCGAGGTCTATCACCATGCACTAAGCTAAAGTCAAAATGGATTAAGGATCTAAATATTAAAACAAAAACACTAAATCTCCTGGAAGTGAAGATAGGAGGAACTCTTGAAGACATAGGGGTAGGCAAAGACTTCATGTACAAAAATCAAACCACACTGGTAATACTTGAATGAAATAACAACTGGGACCTCCTCTTATTGAGATATTTTGCACGTTAAAAGAAATTATCAACAAAGTGAAAAGACAACCTATGAACATGGAAAAAGTCTTAGCAAATAAGCACTCAGACAAAGGTCTTCTCTCTAGAATTTATAAAGAACTTTATGGCCCCAAAATTTAAAGAACCAATCCAGAAATGGGCACCCAAGACAAACACTCACTTCTCAGAGGACACGATTAGAGAGGCAAATAAATACATGAAAAAATGCTCCACATCACTAGCCATCCATGAAATGCAAATTAAAACAACACTGAGATACCATCTCACCCCAAGAAGAATGTTCATCATAAAGAAATCAACCAACAACAAATGTTGGAGAGGCTGTGGGGAAAAAGGAACTCTTCTCTACTGCTGGTGGGAATGCAGACTGGTGCAACTGTTATGGAAATCAGTGTGGAGACTCCTTAAAAAACTAGGACAGGAAATCCCATTTCAAACCTGCTATCCCCCTACTGGGAATTTTCTCAGAGGAACTCAAAGCATCACATCATAGTAATATATGTGCAACTATGTTTACAGTAGCACAATTTGTGATTGCCAAATCATAGAAACAAACAAAATGCCCATCACCTGAGGAATGAATGAGAAAGATGTATTTTTATACAATGGAATATTACTCACTTATAAAGAAAGAAAAAACTTGAAGCATTTATATTTAAGTGTATGCCACTTGAAGATATACTCATAAGTGAAATAAACCAGACACACATGTGTAAATATTGCATAGTCTCCCTAGTGCAAGAACTCAAAAGAAGAAATAAAAGAGAAAGGTATAACACAATTAGAAGAAAAGTGAGAACTTAAGGATTAAACAAGGAAGAGAGGGCAAAGGGAAAAGCTAGGAAACATGACAGGGGAAAACCATACATGTATAAGCACAAGATGGTTAAGGCAATGATCCTGAGACTCTTCAGCAGGTTTTAAAAAGTAGCAGTTAATTGATAGAACTCTCACCCTGACTAATTATATATATCCTGATACCTATGAACTAAGCAACTGCTCTAAATAGCAACATGTAATACTAGGGTCATGCTTGGAATGCCTGTCATTCTGTTCTTCTAAATACATACTGCTTGTCATGTCATATCAATTATTGCTGTACTGTTTCTCGAGAAATGTTTGTTTAAAAAAAGCGTAATAAATGAAAACAAAAGAACAGAAAGAAAATGACATAGTACTGTCCTGCTACAATGCTGTATATGGTTAGATGTCTAAATTTCTGTGTAAAAATATGTAATTGTATATTCCAATTTTTAAAAATATTTTTTCATTAATTTTCCTTTTTTTCCTTCACATTCTGTAGGGACTTATAGTTTAACATATCAATACTTGATGGAAAATATATATTCCATGCTATGTCTAAGATGTTTCATATTCATTCAGATAGTGAAGTTAAGGTCAACTGCCTATGTTATAGGGTATAATATCATAAAACTTGTCATCTGGAGGGTTAAAAACTTATGTTTATAGAACAAAAATTAGAGCAAAAGAAGGGCTGTAAGGACAGCCAACATTTTAGCCCTAGACTTTCAATGTCAGTGAGGACTCAGGTCATAACAGAACCTGTATTCTAACATCCTATAACTCAGTGATGTCATCATCTACATGGCTAATACAAAAGAATTTGTTGACTTGAGCCTTTTGCAGATCAGCATATTAATATGGCTTTACCCTCTCTACCCTATTCCCACATTTCTCTGCTGGATGATCAAGACCAAGACAAAGAAACTCTACATAACCAGTAATGTAACTTTTGTATCTGATAAGGTCTGTCAAATCTCCTCAGGATTTATCCTGAAACCCTGTACCACAGTTGGTAGATCCTTTGTGAGTATCAGCCATGTGGATGAGTCACAGCCATTGCTTGACCAATTTGCTCTTGTGAAAGCCTGAGAGAATATTTTCTCTCCATGCGACTCTCCTTAGGCACACTCTGCAACATCAAACACTTGCCTCTGTGGCTCTATAATCTCCTTGATCAGAAAATTTGGGACACAAGTGAGTTACATGATGTTACAGTACAGGTTCTCCTACATCCTGAATCTTCACTGACCTTTAAAAGACTAGGGCTAAAATGTTGGCTGTCCCTGCAGCTCTTCTTTTCCTCTAAATTTTGGTCTGTGAGCTTAGGTTGTTAACCATCCAGAAAAGAAGCTTAGTAATATTACCCTACAATGTATGCAGTTGAGCTGAACCTTCCTATTAGTCTGAATGTCAAACATTTTAGACATAACATGGAAGAGTATTGATATGTTAAACTTTAAGTCCCTACAGAATATGAAGAAAAAATTTAAAAAATTAAAAAATAGAAATAAACTTTTACATAATTTTACCCAGAAATTTAGATATCTAACCATATACAACATTGTAGCAAGACAGTCCTATGACATTTTTGTCTCTTGTTTTCAGTTATTATTGTTATTTTTTCTATTTTTTTAAACAAACATTTACTTGAGGGAGAGTATAGCAGCAGTTGCTATGACATTAGAAGTAATATGCTTAGAAGACCAGAATGACCGGCATTCCAAGCATGTCCCTAGTATTACACATCGCCATCCTCAGTGCAGTTGCTCAGTTCATAGGTATCATCATATATAATTAGTCATGATGAGAATCCTACCAATTAACTTCTAGTTTCAAAAACCTTTCTGGAGATTCTCAGGATCATTGCCTTAACCATCCTGTGTATATAAATGTATGGTTTTACCCATGCCATGTTTCCTATCTTTTCATTATCAGAAAATATTTACAAAAGCCACCATAAATGTAATCTGGTCCTTTATTCTTCTCACTTTTCTTTGTGAATGATACCATTTTTT